CATCTATAAACTAACATTTTTTGCTGTTTGAGTACATCTATATTCACAATTATAACACTTTTATACTACTGTAACTGCCTTGGCTTCATCCTATGGTTTTATAGGAATTGTAATTGGAAAGGCATTGCAAATTCTGAACTCTAGCATGAAAGCTATCTAGCAGAAATCTCAAAGGCTAGATCTACTGTCATACAATGCAGTTTCAGAATGTAGATACACGGCATTGGACTGGTTTATATGGTAGTGTAGACTCGTAATCCAGTTCAATGCAGTTAATCTGCATTCTGCTACTATGTTATATAGCAGTGTAGGTGGAGCCTAAGGCTTTCATCAAACTACAAACTCCAAGGGTCCATAGGATGAAGCCATTGCTGTTTAAATGGGGTCAAATGTGTTATAATTGTGCAGTATGTGTTGGAGCATGCAAGGAATCAGCGAGTGTGCATGTGCCAACTGTAAAATAAGATGCATTAAACTGATTGGTTGGGCTAAACCCGGAGAGTTGGCTGAGCCTGGGACATTTGGTTATGGTTACATTTTTGTTCAGGCTTGAGCTAGCAGGTGCTCAGAGAGAAGACGAGTGAAGCAGAGAGAGATGGAATTTGGTGTGTGCTCTTGCTTCACGAGCTGCTGAAAGAGTTTATCCACATGGACAGAAGAAAGACCATTTTAAATCTCTCATAAAAGGACATTTTGTGAGTTGATGCAACTGGTCACATTATACATATGTTGTTCTGAACTATGAAGTGTAAACTAATTGTTCTTTACTGTTCACCTGTGTGACATATTTTATTTCTCTGGCAAGGCAGTATGTGGGCTGATCAAATGTGAACTACACGTGGTTTATTTTACATTAAGCTACAGTAAGGATATATCTCTATCAGTCTTGGACCTGGCTGCAGTTATGGCTGACAAAATGTTGGAACACAAGAAACAAATATTATGAATCACAGATAAAACGTATTTTCATGGGTCTTGTTGGGAATGAGGATTATGTAAGGTTGTTTCTTTCACAATGTTCTGCTATTTTCTTTGAAAGAGATATAGATAGATAGTTAGATCGATAGATAGGAGGCTGAAGTCTAACCATTTCCTCTCTTGCTGTGTTCCCAATATGAATAGTTACTACATTATTGCAGTTAGCCAGCCACAGGGAGTATTCTCATATCTGTGCCATCTTTTCTGGATTGCCAATAGCAATGGGGAATAAGTTTGGAAATTGGAAAGATTGGACCCATTCCACACATCTCAACATCCCATTAAAGTTATCCCATGTGGCAGCAATAGTTATCTTACAAAACAAACAAACAAATAAAAAAACACAGCTTTAACCAATGTTTGTCAGGTCATCCTCTGCTAGGTCCTAAGGCAAAGTTTACATCTGTCCTATTAAGAAGAATGGGATTTTAGAAGTGTTTTATTTTAATGCTTGTTGAAAACTAGCTTGTTAGTAAAAACATCTACCTGTTTGTGCCTGTTGTGACATTTACTAGCACTTCCCAATTCTCCAAAATGCAAAATATGGACCGTGGTCACAAAAAGAGGAAGAAACTATTTCATAATCTACTCTGCTGACCTTTTCTTCACGACCAGGAAATACCAGTGAAAAGAACCAAATTAGTGCCTCGATTATGCAACTGCGGTAGTACTGGATGTATGGTAGTTGTGGGGGATTTTAAAATCTAGATACAAAATATTCAGATTTGTGGAAATACAATGTTGCTGGAACTTCAAGGGAAATTGCAGAGAAAACAATTTAATGCACATGTATGTATCTCACCGTGCACAGAAGTAATCAGCAAGGAACAATAGAAAGTTTTCAATTACCAGGGAGATTTTATTATGTGAATTTTATGTCATATCTACAAAGTCCTGTATCCTGGTAAAGCATACTGTACAGCTACATTTATGCTCTCTTTAAAATTTGAAACACTTTCAAAAAATAATTAATGGCAGCTTCTACAGATTTATTTTGTCTCTAGATTACATGGCAGTGTAATTGGGGACCCAGTATTGCCTGGGTTATTTGAAAAAGTCAATTTTTAATTGTACAAAATGCATAAGGTTGTGGATTAACTACAACTGACATCATGCCAGGTTAACTCCAAGAAACTCCATCAGTATTTAAAGTTTGTTATGTTTGACAAGTTTGCTTTGGATGCATCATCAGTGGTGTTCAGTGTGCTCTCTGGCTGCAGGGTAAACTACAACTCCCACTATAGTGAGTCAGTCTCCTCAAACCTCTCTAGTAGGTTGAGTTAGTTACGTGGGTTCTGTGAGCCAAGTTTGGATCAGGTCCATCATTGGTGGAAGTCACAGTTTCTCGGGTTGTGGGTGAACTACAACTGCCAGAAAGGAAGGTCGGTTCCTCCCAAACCCCTCAAGTAATCAAATTTCAGCATATCAGGTATATGTGCCAAGTTTAGTCCAGATCCATCAGTATTTGGGTTCACAGTCCTCTCTGGATGTAGGTGAACTACAATTTCCCCAAATCAAGGTGAATTTTCCACAAAGACCTCCAGTATTTCTTACTGGTCATGGGGGCTCTGTGGGCCAAGTTTGGTCCAATTCCATCTTTGGTAGAGATAAGAGCGCTCTTAGATGGCAGGAGAACTATACATTCAACTACCTACATACATTTTAGGCTTGTTTGATTAAAAATAAAAGGTTCAAAACCCATTTTGGATGTAGGGGGCGCTGGTGGTTCGATTCTAAAGTCAATTCTGATTTTCACAGGAAAAAATGCTCAATTTTTTTTAAACTTCTGAGACTTCTGAATCCTCCCTTAATGCTTTGAAAGTGTCATTTCCTCGAAAAACCTCAAAATCGCTTCAAAAAGCAAATCTTTATGAATTTATTCCGAATTACGAAGATTCTGACCGAACCTAACCATGCCTAATACATACATACATACATACATACATACATACATATATATATTTACATATTTTCACTTTTATTATGTGTATACTTTAAATACAAGGAGACTCAAATATGTTTTTTATTTACTATGGTCAAGAACAGTGGTTCTCAGGTGTTTTGGTCTACAACTCAGAAAAATCTCAGCCAGTTTACCAGCTCTTAGGATTTCTGGGAGTTGAAGGCCAAACATCTAGGGACCCACAGGTTGAGAACCACTGGTCTAGAAGAAGATTTTCACAGTGATTTATTCCTCCTGCCAGAGTTCTAGATGCCCATCTCAAGTTGATAAAAAGTTGTAAATCAAATAAATAATAGCCTTTAATCAGACAAATATTAATGCCATAAAGGGGTTTCTTGGAGAATAGCATCTCACTCCAAATAGCTGTCCTTTTTAAAACTGGTAAGCACCACTTTGCTCAGAGAAGTACTAATCCTTTAAAGGTTCTCTCACAATAATATAACTGTAGGACATCATTCTTTACAAAATTATTATCTGTCCAATAAGTGTGGTATTTGTTTTTGTCACATTTAGGCAGTTAAATGAGAACTAATATTTTAAAGATTCTTCTTATTTAGGGTTTAATTCTTTGTGTGTGTTTGTTTGTTTGAATTTAAATACTATGATTTTAAATGTATCTGTTTTAATAACAATATGAAAGCATGCCATTTCAAACAAGGATCAGAGTTTAATTTTAAATGTTTTCAACTTTGATTTGGATCTCTGAAACTACACAGGAGCCCATAAAGGAAGACAGTTTTTGATACTTGATTTCCCATTATTTTGTTGCTGCTGATACAGCCTTTTGTGAAGTTAAACAAATAGTGTCTTTTTAAAGGAAGTCATCTTCCGTCTTCACCCTAGAGAATATATTCAGCGTCACTCCACCCCAAAGTTACATAGATACGCTTGTTAAATGTTGTTCCTTTTTTTCCCTCTCAGAAAAGCATGGCAAGTCTGTTAAGAACCAAGTGGTTTTTCTTCTCGGCATGTGCCTTTCAAAGCTAATTCCTTTTTTAATTGTTCTAATTCTCACAAAGTCTCTGGAAGGCCTATCTACACTTTCTTCCTAACAGCCTTCTAATCCTAGATGAGAAATTAATCTTCTTTAAAGCTTTTAACAAACATTAATGACTATGCAATATTGATCTATTGATCAGATTCTGGCTCATTTTCCAGATCATCTGGCGTAGTATGCTAAGATTAAGAACTTACGTTTAGCTTTCAGTTATAATTTCAAAAGAATAAGAAATATGGGAGCAAGGAAAAGAAATAAGTGTGAAGCTGTCTTTCTCTGGGATGAGTACCTGGAACATGGTTTACAGCAATATCACTGAATTTTTGGATGTTCCTAATTGCTTTTCTAGCACACACAGAAAGGGGCTCCTCTCTTGTTTTCATTTACTTACACCATCCATATATTCACTGGGGAATTGTAAACTCCAGCAACTAATGAATAAATGCAGAAGGACTTTAAAATACTGATATACCTTAAGGGGCTGGTTGGAGATATCTGAGATAATGTATGTAAATCCATTTCTTTTTTGCTTTTTTAGCAGTCAGAGGGGAGTCCTGTAGGTAAAGGTAACGGTATTCCCCTGACATTAAGTCTAGTTGTGTCCAACTCTGGGGTGTGGTGCTCATCTCCATTTCTAAGCCGAAGAGCCAGCGTTGTCCATTGACAACTCCAAGGTCCTGTGGCTGGCATGACTGCATGGAGCACCGTAACTTTCTCACTGGAGCGGTACCTATAGGTCTACTCACATTAGCATGTTTTTGAACGGCTAGGTTAGCAGAAGCTGGGGCTAGCAGCGGAGCTTACCCCGCTCCCCAGGTTCGAACCTGCAACTTTTCGATCATCAAGTTCAGCAACTCAGCGGTTTAACCCACTGCACCACAGGGGCTCCTCATGCTGTAGGGTAGTTCATTATTTTAACTTTGTGTTTCAAATTATTTTAACTGACTTGCACATTTAGTTCTAATGATACTGACATTATTCTTATCAGCTTTTCCTCACTTTTGACCACTTTTAGCTCTCTTTTTGGGGGGGGGGGGTGCGGTGAGGAGAGGCCAAGCCAACAGGTGTGCCGTGGGAGTTGCCCTGAGCCGGCATGTCGGGCATTTCTCCGCAGACTCCTCCGCTTGACGGAGCCGGGTTTCCCGAAAGAGACTGTATCAGGTCTCGGTAGAGAGTTGAAGCAGCCCCATCTTCTTCTCCCAGACTAGAGGCTGGCCATGGGGCTGGCCGCCTCCAGTGGGGTAAGTAAGGAGCCAGGCGCACTCCTCCTCCCCCTCCTCCTTCTGCTGCTGCTCCTCCCCTTTGCTCTGGGGCGAGCTTCCTCTTTCGCTTTCCTCTCCCACTCGGAGGGACTTTCCTTCCTGCGGCGTTTCGGCCTGGCTCTCTTCTCGGCGGAAAGGGCAAGTAGCCTTGGCTCTCGGCCCCTTCCCCTCTGGCTCACCCCCCACCCCCCAAGATTTCTACCTGCGTGGGGGAGGCCCAACTACAGCAGACCCCAAGGCCTCACTTGTTGCTGTTGCTGCTGAGTTTTCCTCCCCAGACTTCTCCTTCAGAGCAGGGTGTGTGTTTCTCCACTGCCATATAATCCAGTTTCCGAATTGCTTTGAACTATATTGTAGAGTAGTCTAGACACTCAAAGCAAATCACCTGGACGCAGAAGCTGGGGCTGGATCTACCCTGCCCTATATCCTAGGGCAAACTTTGCCCCCCCCCCCAGGTGTTTTGGACTCCAACTCCCACCATTCCTAACAGCGCCGGGCTGCAGTCATTCTACAGTGTAGCTGCACCCTGGGTGACACTCTCTCAGCCTCAGAGAGGAAGTTCAAAATAAAAATCGAGGCTGGATCTGCATTACCATACAACTCAGGCCCTGTAACCTAGGATCTAGTCCCAGATTACCTGCTTATCAGGTCCTAGGACAGGCCTGGGCTAACTTGGGCCCTCCAGGTGTTTAGGACTTCAACTCCCACCATTCCTAACAGCCTTCCGGCACTATCCTAGGATGTTCTAGGACAGGGGTCCTCAAACTTTTTAAACAGAAGGCTGGGTCACAGTCCCTCAAACTGTTGAAGGGCCAGATTATAATTTGAAAAAAATCAAGAATGAATTCCTATGCACACTGCACATATCTCATTTGTAGTGCAAAAACCCCCCACTTAAAACAATACAATAATTAAAATGAAGAACAATTTTAACAAATATAAACTTATTAGTATTTAAATGGAAAGTGTGGGCCTGCTTTTGGCTAATGAGGTAAGATTGTTGTTGTTGTGTGCCTTCAAGTCATTTCAGTCTTAGGTTGACCCTGAGCGAGGGCTGGGTAACTGACCTTGGAGGGCCATATCTGGGCTTTAGTTTGAGGACCCCTGTTCTAGGATATACAGCAGTGTAGATCCAGGCCTAGTTTGGAAATCCCAGGTCATTTGTTATGAGTCTCTAGATCAGGGTTTCTCAACCTGGGGGGTGGTACACCTGCGGGGCGGTCGCAAGGAGAGTGTCAGAGAGGTTGTCAGAGACCATCAGAAAACACAATATTTTCTGTTGGTCTTGGGGGTTCTATGTGGGAAGTTTGGCCCAATTATGTTGTTGATGGGGTTCAGAATGCTCTTTGATTGTAGGTGACCTATAAATCCCAGCAACTACAACTCACAAATGTCAAAGTCTATTTTCCACAAACTCCACCAGTGTGCACATTTGGGCATGTTGAGTATTCATGCCAATTTTGGTCCTGATCCATCATTGTTTGAGTCCACAGTGCTCTCTGGATGTCAGTAAGCGACAACTCCCAAACTCAAGGTTAATGCCCACCAAACCCTTCCAGTATTTTCTGTTCTGTGTGTTCTGTGTGCCAAGTTTGGTTCAATTCCATTGTTGGTGGAATTCAGAATGCTCTTTGATTGTAGGTGAACTATAAATCCCAGGAACTGTAACTCCCAAATGACAAAATCAATCCCCCCCCCCAACCCCACCAGTTTTCAAATTTGGGCGTATCATATATTTGTGCCAAATTTGGACCAATGCATGAAAATACTTCCTGCATATCAGATATTTACATTATGATTCATAACCTTGTCAAACTACAGCTTCCATGATTCCGTAGCATTGAGCCATGACAAAGTGGTGTCAAGCTGCATTATTTCTACAGTGTAGATGCAATCTGGGACATAGGCTGTCAGGGCAGTGGATGGGGAGCAAAAGAGAGGTCTTAAAGATTCCTTAGAAATCCAACCTTTGTTGTGAGGGACAAAAAAGACAAGGGGGGTTATGAAGCAGATTTTTTATTCGGAGCCAAATGTGTGTATGTTCAGCAAATGAGGGACATAAATTCCAAGTAAGGACGCATAGCCCAGCCACTGTAGCAAAAGGTGGGATTAAAGCAAGCAGTGTTAATAGGAATGATAGCTTGAGTATACCTTCAAAGTACTTGGGATCGTGCTGTCCCTTGTTTAGCTTCCAAGGTCAGGTAGAATCTGGTGTCTATATATATGAGCCCATTGCACTCATCCATTGAGGAACAGCCTTCAGAAATACCCAGCAACCCAGGGAACCAGCACTGGGGTCTGCTTTTTTAATGGGAGTGGGAGTTGGGTGAAGTGGGAATCCAGCTTTTTTTTAATCCACAAGGACAGAGTCCCAAGCAAAGAGGCAAGTGTTTCTCTTAATCTTCAGTCTACTCATAAGAAAAATAGCTCCCTGTTATACATTGGGAGTTCTCCAGACTCCCACACTCCGGGAATGAATGGGGTCAGCTGGAAGGGTAATCTTCCTGCTCTGAGTAGAAAGGGAAATGGGATACCCGGTCAGGGACATTACTCAACTCACACACACCCCAGGCAGGTCATTAACAATTTTAGTCCATCAGCTAATTGGGTAAACTGGCCTGCCCACTATTACAACATTGGGTTGCAAGTCAAGACCTTGTATTCCAAAGTAGTCCAGAAAAAGCCCCACTGGAGTCAGGAGCACAACTCTGCAGGAAGCCATGTAATCTTGATGCCTCCTCCTTTTACAAAAATTGCTGTGGCCATCTAGTTTTAGATGAATTGATGCATGTTGTGTATTTTATTTATTTATTTACAGTATTTATATTCCGCCCTTCTCATCCTGAAGGAGACTCGGGGGATTACAGAACACATATGCGGCAAACATTCAATGCCAGTTGTACAGTGACAAGACAGACAACAGATAAATGTCACTGGCTCAGTTTACCTGTCCGAATGCATTTCGCTTTATGCACCATCGCACAGACTAAGATCTTCTGGGGAGGCCCTGCTCTTGGTCCCGCCACCGTCACAGGTGCGTTTGGCGGGGGCAAGAGAGAGGGCCTTCTCAGTGATTGCCCCCCAGCTATGGAACTCCCTTCCTGGCAATATTAGAATCCCCTGTGGGGTTTTTTTGTCATGTCAGGAGAAACTGCAAGTAGCTTCTGGTGTGAGAGAATTGGCCATCTGCGAGGACGTTGCCCAGGGGACGCCTCGATGATCCTTGTGGAAGGCTTCTCTCATGTCCCCGCATGAGGAGCTGGAGCTGATACAGGGAGCTCATCTGCCTCTCCCTGGATTAGAACCTGCGACCTGTCGGTCTTCAGTCCTGCCGGCACAGGGGTTTAACCCACTGCGCACCGGGGGCTCCCCTATGGGGTGAGAAGGGTGAAATATAAATGTTTGAAATAAATAAATAAATCTTTTGGCATCATTGGAGGCTGTGCTCAGTTCCAGCCACGGAGGGTGCTGTCACTTCATCTCCCTGCCAAAGAGCATGTTTCTTTGATCGTAAACTTCCTCCTGCCATGTCTAAAATACCTCCCCTCTTGAATGTGGTTTCCATTTATGTACTCACATATTTGTTTTTGAACCACTAAGTTGGCAGAAGCTGGGCTGAAAGATCAGGCACTCATCCTGATCTGGGCTTCGAACTATCAACCTTCTGGTTGGCAAGATTTATTGCAGTTTGGTGATTAACCTGCTGTGCTAAAGCTCGGCCTGGTTGCTTGGCTGCTGCGCACACTTGTAACAGCTAACCATGATCATAAATTAGTCTGCTTACAATGTGATGGCCATCATCACAAGATGTATGGCAGATGATTATGATGATGATAATTATTTTTATTTATGCCCCACCTTTCTCCCCATGAGGGCTCAAGACAAGTAACAATCCCACACTTTAGTCAAGTTTAAAAAGTGAAATACAAAAGTTAAAAAATTAAATAGTACGGATTATCAAAGATGAATGGCATTTTTACTACCATATACAGGCGCATCTCACTAAAATAGCAGGATTGTTTCTAGAACACCGCTGTAAGCAAATACTGCTTTGAAATCTTCCCCTCCCCCCACCTGTAAGTACATATAAATACCTAAAAACATATTTCTACTGTCAGATGTTTAATAATGCGCAATAATAGAAATACAAAAAGGAAAAAAAAAACCAAAATACAATACTGAGATATAAAATACACAAAAGCTATATAAACAAATAGAGTGGGGTAACAAAACGGCGTTGCACTGTATAATTGAAAAGCACTGTATTAACGAAGTGCCTTCAAATGAGATCTGATGTTAGTTTCTAGACAAATGACATATAAATGGGGTATGAACACTTCAAATAATTTGGAAAAGAAAGTTAATCTGCTCGATAAGTGTAGTGTTGCTTGGGAATTACATTTAAAAATAGGCTACACTATACCATGGTATACAAACTCTGTATTTGACTTGATATTAATATTGAAATACAGTAATTGAAAGCAAATGATGACTAATGGAGACAAACATAACTGAATGTAGCACAGTCGTAATGCTTTATTATATTGGAAATCAGTTTTTAAAATTTTAAAGTATTGTTTCTTTTATTCTTGCCTGTTGCTTGAGAATTCCGGTTACTTGAGTTCGTGTTAACTGAGTGTCTACTGTAAATTGAAATGCATATACATCAATTCCACCAAGCTACAGTTGCAACCTGCTTTTAAATAGAGGCTTTACTGAATTTAATCTGTTTTTCTTGTGATGCTTCAGATCATGTGTTCAGGTTTGCTAGAGAACTACATGGCAGCGATGGTGCTGAGTGCAGCTGGAGATGCGATGGGCTTTTGCAATAGCAAATGGGAGTTCCAACGGGATGGTGAGAAGATTCACGATGAGGTGGCCAAACTGGGTGGCGTGAGCAAACTCAACGTGGCCAATTGGAAAGTCAGTGATGATACTGTCATGCATTTGGCTACTGCAGAAGCTTTGTCAGAAGCTGGAAATAACCCGGATCTAACCTACCTGTATAAACTCATTGCAAGAAACTACAGAGACTGCATGGATGACATGTGTGGACGATCTCCAGGTAATCTCTCTAACATTGTGCTGTGCAAAATTAGTACACTGGAACCATAATGACCAGTGACTTGTTTTCAAAAGCCTTTCCGTTTTAATCCCATAACTACTCTATTTACACATGTGATCAATGTCTGCTGTGGACAGGTTAGATATCACTCTTAACTTGAAACTTTTCCTAAGTGCTTTTCCCCCAGTTGCACCTCATCTATGGACCTGCAAATGTTTCTCTTGGACTACAGCTGTCATCATCCTTCCCTATGACTGGCGAGACTGTTTTTATTATTTATTGTTTTAATGATTGCTTATGTACTGTCTAATTATAATTTATGTTTAATTGTGGTTTTATTATTGTGGTTGTTATGGTTTGGCATCGCGTCAGTGTCCAATGTATGGCACTGAAGTTTTGTCAGTTATGTGTAAACCGTTTTGAGTCCCCCTAGGGGTGAGAAAAGCGGTATAGAAATACTGTAAATAAGTAATAAATAAATAATAGTGTCTATGGTCATTGGGGCTGATGGGAGTTGGAACCACTGAATGCTTTTCATATAGAGTAGGGTAGACATATGCTAATAAATAGACTCTCCCATGAGTGCATTCAGACTTACTACTCTGATTCACCTTATCATTTATCTAAACAGCAGACTGTTGGGCGAGTGGGCTGAATAACGAAAGACCCTTCTCATAAATGTATAACAGGGTAACTTATCAGCAGTAGTGTGACTCAGCACCAGTACCCCAAAGTGATAAAAAGAACAAAAACAAATAGACCATCTTTTCCATAGGAGACTTTTCTTTATAGCAAAATAATATCATTTCACTATTTACAAGAACAAGGTTTCCATAACATGAACAAAGTTCTTTATACTTCCTTCTTTGCTTCCACGCTGGGCTTCTTTCTAATTCAGATAAACAACTTCGCTCTCACAGAGCCTCTTCTCATAATGAGCTTACACAGAAGTTTCACACACGATGGCTTTCAACCTGGGGCTTCTCTCACAGAAGCTTCTTACACCATGCCTTCTCATACTGAGGCCTACCTCACACTGAGACCTTCTCCCACTGAGACTGACACCTCTATCAAACACTGAGGTGAACTAACACTGAGGCCTACTCATACTGAGGCCTACTAACACACTGAAGCTCCTCTCCTGCAGGGATCTGTCACAGACTGAGGACTACTAAACTACAGACCCACCTTTTATATAGAACTGCAGCGTTTGCTGAGATATTGCATCCATTTAACCTTTTCAGTGCTTGACTCACATTTTTGTAATTAAAAATACCTAGATAATTTTTAATATTTCTGATTAATACAGGCAATGTGCAGAATCATTTCTGTCTTGTGATTCATTTGGCAACTTCCGTTCCCTCTATAACAGTCTTTAGTAGAAAACTTCATAGAAAAAATCAGCAATCTCAAGCTAAATACCAACGACAAACTGATCAGCTTCGATGTGGTATCTCTATTTACCATGGTCCCGGTAGCAGACACCATGGCACTCATCAACCAGAGGTTCCCAGAAGACATCACGGCTCTGTTTCACCATTGCCTCACCACCAGTTACTTTCAGTGGGACAATGAATTCTACGAACAGAAAGATGGAGTAGCTATGGGGAGCCCTCTCAGCCCGGTCATAGCTAACTTCTACATGGAACACTTTGAAAAACAAGCCCTGGAGACAGCAACCAAAAAGCCCACGATATGGTTCAGATATGTGGATGACACCTTCACCATTTGGAGCCATGGAGAAGAAGAACTCAACAGGTTCCTGGACCATCTTAACAGCATCCACCCAAACATCCAGTTCACCATGGAAAAAGAAAATGAAGGAAGACTGCCTTTTCTAGATGTCCTAGTCATCCGCAAACCAGATCAACAATTGGGTCACACCGTCTACAGAAAACCTACACACACAGATAGATATCTACATAAAAACTCCAACCATCACCCAAGTCAAAAAAAGAAGCACCATTAAAGCCTTGGCAGACCGTGCAAAAAGAATCTGCGAACCCCACCTCCTCCAAGATGAACTGAACCACCTCAATTGGGCTCTCCAGGCCAATGGATACTCCACCTCAGACATCAGAAGAGCTGCAAGACCAAGAACAAGCCACGAGAGTAAAGATGAAGATCCACCCAGAGGAAAAGTGTTCCTGCCATACATCAAGGGAACCACTGACCGCATAGGGAAGCTGATGAGGAAACATAACATACAAACAATCTACAAACCCACCAAGAAAATCCAACAAATGCTACGTTCAGCAAAGGACAAGAGGGATCCTCTCACCTCTGCAGGAGTCTACCGTATACCATGCAGCTGTGGACAAGTCTACATAGGGACCACCAAACGCAGCGCCCAAACACGAATCAAGGAACATGAAAGGCACTGCAGACTACTTCAACCAGAGAAGTCAGCCATAGCAGAGCACCTGATGAACCAGCCTGGACACAGCATATTATTTGAGAACACAGAAATGCTGGACCACACCAACAACCACCATGTCAGACTACACAGAGAAGCCATTGAAATCCACAAGCATGTGGACAATTTCAACAGAAAGGAGAAGACCATGAAAATGAACAAAATCTGGCTACCAGTATTAAAAAACTCTAAAATTACAACAGCAAAACAGCAGAGAGGAAGCAACCAGGCACATCTTAACACCTCTCAACAGAAAATTTTCCCAGGCTCAGCCAAGTCTTCAAATGCTAATGAAGGTTGTCAGCTGAAACATTCACACCTAGCTTCAGCAGAGAGCTCTTTGCCCCACCCCAGTCATTCCACAGATATATAAACCCATTTTGCTATTTCCAACAGACCTCACTACCTCTGAGGATGCTTGCCATAGATGCAGGTGAAACGTCAGGAGAAATGCCTCTAGAACATGGCCCTATAGCCCGAAAAAACCTACAAGAACCTAGTGATTCCAGCCATGAAAGCCTTCGACAATACATTGATTATGTATGTGTTTTTTTCTAGAGATCTGTGACTGTTAAGATTTGCAACAGTGTAAGTGCCAAGTGTGCCAAAGATGATAAGCAGCTTAAAATGCCATTTGATGCAGGTATTAATTCAAAAATATGTTTGTGGTAAAGTTGTGTCATACATTCTGCAAATGAATATTGTGGTGTGTGAAGAAGATAAATGCTCGTTGCATTTGGTTTAGTGGTCTGTCTTGCAAACAGTGAGTTGCTTCAGTTTTGCTTAGGCTTGAAATAGACCCATTGAAATAAAAAGGGCTTAGGTTAATCAGGACTAAATGAAATCTTATTGATTTCAGCAGATCTCTTCCAAGTGTCAGTAAATTTGGATCCAACCCATCGAGCACTCTATGATTGCAGTTAAGCCAATAACAACTGTAGTACCACTACATGGCTGTGTTTTCAGTTACTGGTTGCCTGTGGACTTGTCACCAGTGCTCACTTGGGGCCTTTCCACACAGCCATATAACCTAGAATGTCAAGGCAGAAAATCCCACAATATCTGCTTTGAACTGAGTAATCTGAGTCCACACTGCCATATATTCCAGTTCAAAGCAGATAATGTGGGATTTTATTCAGCTGTTGTAGTTCAGTCAGCTGATGATGATGATGATGATGATGATGAGGAGGAGGAGGAGGAGGAGGAGGAGGGGTTTGGGGGTGCAGGGCTGCTGCTTCTGGAGGTGTTCAGACAAAGGGGATATTGGAACAGGATGGTGATTCCCCGGTTGGGAGAACGGAGAGGGGTTTGGAATTACATGTTGCTTCTCTGTGTGAAAAAGAAACTGTTTTGGAAGCTGACAGGCAGAGAAGGGAGGAGGACATGAGTTCATCCGATGAAGCGGGTTTAGACAGAGAATCAAGGCTGCTCTGCATGGGAAGAAATCCAGGTGCAAGCAGAGCCATGAAAAAGAGAGGCAGAGACAGGCTTCTCAAGGTCAATGGAATGCCTTCATTGTTGTCCTTAATTAGGGAAAGGAAGCTGTTAGGTTTCAGGTCAAGCAATGTCGTGAATGGAGTGAGAAGCTCCTGTTTTGTTCCTGGCCATGTTTTAGCTTCAGGCCAAGTGTTTTCATCAAGTTTTGATGCCAGTGTTGGAGATTTTACCTATGGATTCAAGGTCTTGTTTTGTTCCTTGCTTTTTTGGATTAATGATCAAGCTTTAACCTTTGTATTGGAGATATATCTTATCTTTTTGGGACGTACTCCTTTTTTTATCTATATTTGGATTTTACTCTTTTACAGTCTGTTTTATCAATAAACTGTTCATTACTATATTTGGCTTCCTGGTGAGTGCATAGAGCAAGGTGAACTCCTGCTGAGGTGCAACATCAGCTGTGTGGAAGGAGCCTTGGATATCATGGGGTATTCTGATGACCCAGTTGCTCAAGTGGACTATTCCCTTTTTTCATCAATACCTATTGTTTTAAAGACTGACCATTTTGACTTGTACAATAGAGTCTCGCTTATCCAACCTTCGCTCACCCAATATTCTGTATTATCCAATGCAGTCTGCCTCCCGCCCGGAATAATGTCCAGGGTGGGAGAAAGAAACAACCCTTGTCTGTTTTGGTGCTAAATTCGTAAATACAGTAATTACTACATAATGTTACTGTGCAGTGAACTGTTTTTTCTGTCGATTTCTTGTAAAACATGATGTTTTGGTGCTTAATTTGTAAAATCATAACATTATTTGATGTTTAATAGGCTTTCCCTTAATCCTTCCTTATTATCCAACATTTTCGCTTATCCAACGTTCGGTTGGCCCGTTTATGTTGGATAAGCAAGACTCTACTGTACCTTCTGGGAATATTGACCTTCCAGAAGTAACTCTTTTACCCACTGCTATTACATCAGCTGCTCTCTGTTTTTACCTCCTTTCTCCTACATCGTATATTCATACTGTGAGGCATCTTAAAGAAACAAATCCTTTTGGAACATTTGAAAAGGAAGATGCCTAAAAATGGTAAACAAACATTGGTGACCTTTATGGGTTTTTAAAGGTTTTTTTTTTTTTGCAAGGGGTATTTCCCACTTTTACTTGGAAACTCTTGCTATGGATCCTTTGGACCTTTGAACCATCTGCATGTGAAGCATATGCTCTACCACTGCCCTCTGGTCCCTTCCTTGAAATCTTTCTGATTGTGCTAACACACAACTGCCTTAAGAGTTTTCACAGATGTACTTATTACATTCTGCTTAACATTGAAAGCTTATGCCATATTGAGTTATTTTGTAAACTAAATTCTGAAATGAGGGAGATTTCCCTTTCAGGACAGAGCATCAGATTATCCCTTCATCACCGCCCCAAACTCTTAGAACACCTTTCAGATCAAATTACATGTCCTTGCTTTGACAATCATTTTCCAGTTTAGAAGAATGAGGATCTCTTAATACTTTGGCAAAATCTGAGGGTAGAAGAGGAAGAATCTCACTTGTGGGAGAATCTTTTCCTTTGACACACAGTACATAACACTGTATTTGCACTTCAATGCAATAAGGAAGCTATGGACATCTTGACTCTGCAGGCAGCTGTAAAACATCTTAAACTCATATTATGAATTTCAGTATCGTTGGTTTTTATGGAGTTTCATGTTTGTTTAGCAATTTATGAGTTTATAATGATGTTACTTTGCACTGTTTTTGACTTAAGTGTTTGTTTCTCACCAAGGAATTGAATGTTTGCCTTTTTGCCTGGAAACCGCCCTGAGTCCCGCTTATTACTACTAAGTAAGGCAAAGGTTTCCCCTAGACATTAAGTCTAGTTGTGTTTGACAATGGGGTGGTGGTGCTCATCTTCATTTCTAAGCCAAAGAGCCTGCGTTGTCCATAGACACCTCCTAGATCATGTGGCTGGCATGACTACATGGAGCGCTGTTAACTTCTCACCGAAGCGGTACCTATTGATCTGCTCACATTTGCATGTTTTCAAACTGCTAGGTTGGCAGAAGCTGGGGCTAACAGCAGGAGCTCACCGATTAAAAAATTAATAGAACAAGCTATAATAGAATTTGTTTTCTGAAATGCCCCCTCAAATACTCTTTCCTGATGTTTCTTTGGAAACAGAAGAGCTCTATGGTAGATCAAACCAAAACATCCTTCTTAATTCCTAATAGTACAGTAGAGTCTCGCTTATGCAACTTTTGCTTATCCAACATTCTGTGTTATCCAACACAGTCTGCCTCCCACCTGGATCCACAGGTGAGGAAAATGGAGTGTCCAGGGTGGGAGAAAGAAACAACCCTTGTCTGTTTTGGTGCTAAATTTGTAAATACACTCATTGCTACATAACGTTACTGTGTACTGAACTGCTTTTTCTGTCGATTTGTTGTAAAACATGATGTTTTGATGCTTAACTTGTAAAATCATAACATAATTTGATGTTTAATGGGCTTTTCCTTAATCCCTTCTTATTATCCAACATTTTCGCTTATCCAATGTTCTGTCGGCCCATTTATGTTGGATAAATAGGGCTCTACTGTAATTTTAAAGTTTGTGAATACAATACACTTCAGTAGATGTGCATTAACTGCTTTTTCCAGCACATGCAGGTCAGTAATGCCTGAACTGTGCTAATGGACTCCAGTGCAGAAAGGGCCCTCATGAATGTACTTACACTTCCCCTTATGCTGCCTCTTTCTTGGAGTTTTCACTGAAGTGAGGAGATAGGGGTTAGAAAAGACAGCATGCCAACACCATTGCTGTCAGCTGAGAAAAAGTTTTAGTTTTAGTTTTCTAAACAAATTTGTTTCAGAGAAACTGCAATTAGGTGTCGAGTGGAAAATGTGACCTATTGGAGTTTGATGGTTAAGGCTGAGGTTTACTGTGTAAACTGGGGAATCCCCTTTTCCATTTTCAGTGCAGTAGTTGTTAATTCCATGTAACTAGGACTCACTTGAATTCAGATTGTTGAAAGAACATATAGAATCATGATGATACTTTCGCATGTATTATACTTAAGTGTCCGCCTACATTTTCAAGAAGAAGAAACAGACTTGCGGTTGTTGTTTGGGTTCAGTGTACTTTGTGTTTATGCATGTCTGTTGGTAGTATATCTTGAAAAAGAAACCAGAAGCAAATGTAGTGCCCTAGAGAAGTATAAAAGTGGATGGATTTTGTGTATTCCTTTAAGAATAGTTATTCAAGCCTTATCTCGTTAGGTAATCTAGCCAGAATGTATGAATCCATTGGTTGTGCTGAAGTGATGAGCATAATATCCAATTCACTTGCTTTATAGTATGCTTCCAACTAATACTTTCAAATGTTTACATACTGCAGCAGCACTTTCTTGGTGCGTTGTGACTACCTTTATTGAAAGCGGCAATAGACCAATGCATAGAAACACATGTGCTATGAGAGAGAATCACTTTCAAGATTGGCATGTGATGATGGCATATGAAAACCATGGAGACTTTTTGGCCCTGAGTATGGACACATCTTTTCATGCATTCATTTTCCAAAGGTAGCCAGTGAGATTTCTCAAGGAAGCCCTTGCCGGGAGGAATCCTCACAGTCGTCTTCCCACATTGTCCCTACCCCTCGCAATACTTGGAGTCATATGAGGTGCCATTTAGTTAAGCTAATTACTCTGCAATATTTGTAGCTTAAAGTACTTTCATCAGTGGCAGGTAGCTCCTCCCCCACCTGCTTTTCCATTCGTTCAATTGTACTTCAGAGGTTTTACTTCAGTTTCAATCACCTTATATAATATGCAGGAGATTCCTTAGATCATGAGCATTTCTATGTTGGCACCAAGGTATCTGGAAGTTCCTTGGGTGCCTTTACTATAACTAAAACCAACTTCCTTTCTAGGATATTTGGAACAACTGTTTAATACATTGTATACATGTTGACGTGAGACTTTTATTGCATTGTTTATGTTTTAAGTATGTGTGTTTATTGCTACTTCTTGATATGTTTTAAAGGTTTTGCTGGTTACGATGATAGAATACAAGAAAGTTCTACAAGTTTTATTTGGTCGCTGGTTGTCATGAAAAAAAGGGAGTTTGGAATATGATAACACAGAATTATTTTGCCAGTGGAAGACTGGTGCTGTATGGCTGTGATCAGTAAACATGCTCTTGAAAAAATGTCAACAACTTAAACCTCTTCCATTTATTATAGGAGGTACCTGCATGGAACATGCAGGGAATCTGGATCCAGATAACCCATCTAGTTGGATAGCTAACTTTACCAAACAAGGAGGAGGGTGTGGAGCAGCCATGCGCTCCATGTGCATTGGGCTGAGGTTTCGTCACCCGGAACAGCTGGAAACCTTGATTGCAGTCAGTATAGAAAGTGGACGAATGACTCACCATCATCCGACTGGATACCTCGGATCCCTGGCAGCTGCTCTCTTCACATCTTATGCAGTGAATCGCAAGCCAGCCCATGAGTGGGGGAGAGGGCTGATGGACGTGCTGCCAAAAGCGAAAGCCTATATCCAGAAGTCAGACTCCTATGTGGAGGAGAACCTGAAGCATTGGTGAGCATTTGCAGTGATAGAGGGATTTTCTACCTACCAGGGGAAAAGATCATCTATAAAAAAAAAGGAATCATTGTTCCTGTGGGACTCCAGAAGTCCCTATTCTTAATAATAATAATAATAATAATAATAATAATAATAATAATAATAATAATAGTAATAATAATAGGAAAAGCTTATACAATGTGAGGATTTAAAGATAGAACTGCTAAGACTGTGGTACAAGCAAGTAAAGGTGGTCCCAGTGGTGATCGGCACACTGGGTGCAGTGCTTAAAGACCTTGACCTGCACTTAAAAACAATTGGCACGGACAGAATTACCATCTGTCAGCTGCAAAAGGCCACCCTACTTGGATCTGTACGTATTGTTCACCGAAACTTCACACAGTCCTAGATATCGGAAGTGTCCAATGTGTGGTCAAATACAAAAGCTAGCATAGTGATCTTGTTTGCTGTCTACTAATCTTGTTATGTATATAATGATAATAACTTTAACAACAACTACTTTATTTTTCATCCGCTCTCAGTGGGTGGTTTGGTGGAGAATGCAGGCAAACAAGGCAGAAGGTCTTGCTCTGTACAACATGTTTTGGGAGAGAGACTATTTAAAAACAGAGTTCCCAGTCACTTTCCGTTTTTGGAAAACAATTTAGGGAGACATGTAACTTGTGGATTGTGGTGCAGAAATGGGGCTGCAGACACTTGAAGCTGCTTATTCTTGTTTTGAAGATTCTCCGATATTAGAATAGGTACAGACATGAAGTTGAATAACTACAGAGAGTGAGGAGTAGTGCTTGAATAATGGGGAAGTTCATAGACGTCTCCTACCCCCAAACACCAGAATCAAGGAATATGGTCTGCAACAGAGAGCAACTGTTGATGTCTGCAGATGTATGTTTTATATCTGAGAGCTTGGAAATGCTATCCTTTGTTCACATTAGGTCTGTTTTTCACACTAAATAGGGATGGAGGGGGGGTGGGGATTAGGGGTTTGCTCATTAATTTTAACTGGTTAACCAAATCCCCATGCAAAGTCTATGAGAAACAAAAATTAAACAAGTCCCTCCCAAACTGCAAGCACTATCTGAAGCAAATTTTGACCATTCACACTGTCATTATTTGCAGCGATAGCCGATACAGTAGAAACAATCAAGTTGGCCTGCTCATAACTGGCAGGCAAACCCTAAGGCATGGGAGGGATTTGAAGCCCCCCATGAAGGAGACCAGACTTGCTGGGGGTGGTTGCCAAGGGCCGGGCTGCAGGCTATTTAAGGCTGCTCTGCCCCCCTGCTGTGCTCTTTGCTTTAGCATGAGGTAGGAGGCTGGTTCCTAATGGGGGAATTAGGCCTTTCCTCCTTGCTCCCCTTTTCCAGATAGTAGGGTTTTTATTGCTATGCCTATATATAGGTCGTTTCCAACTCTTAAACGTTTGAAAACATACATAAGAAGCCCAATGGGGCAAGAAAGATTGACTGGGCTTGCACACTTGAGTGTCCACCAAAGTTTATCAATGCAGCCTGATTTCGGTCAAAGTGTATTGACACAGTTTTCAAGTGCTTCCAACACACATTGTGGTATTGTTTTGTAACTATAAATTACCAATCAACCGTCATTTTCACTTATTTTAAGACTTGAAACTTTGTAACTAAAATAGAAAATGTATTTAATCAAGTCTATATAGAAATATAGAATGAACCATACTATTTAAATTATTTTGTGTTATGGAACTACTCTTCATGATTTGCTAAAAAAAAAGAAAGAAGTTTCAGCCTCTCCCCCTGAATTTTTTTCTGGCTATGGCCCTGACACTTAAGTACCATATATATTACAATCCATTTTAATGGTAAGCCCTAGATGGGCATGCGAAAACTTCTCGCCTATTTTTGGTCTGTTTGTTTCTGATTTAGGATCTTAAGAGAGAAACCTTGTTTTTGTTTTGTTTTCTAGGAGTTACTTTGAAGACCAGTGGAGCAAGTACCTGGAAACCAGAGGCATTTCAGATGGGAAGTCCCCTCCTTCCTTCCCTGAAATTTATGGTGTGAAAGAAAGGGATGAGTTTTACAAGTCCTTGAGTTACTCTGGATGGGGAGGCAGCAGTGGGCACGATGCTCCAATGATTGCTTATGATGCCTTCCTTGGCTCGCCTGACTGGACTGAGTTAGCACTTAGGGGCTTCTTCCATGGAGGGGACAGCGATTCTACTGCAGTCATAGCTGCCTGTTGGTGGGGGGCAATGTACGGCTACAAAGGGGTCAATGCAAGCAACTATAAGAACATTGAATATCGAAATCGATTGGAGAAAGTTGCTAGGGAACTCTATCACCTTAGTTTAATTGCAGAACAGTGATGTGATACTTCAGTGTGAATTGATGTTCTAAGTGTGGGTAGTATGTCAAAGTTTGCTAGAGAAAAACATTGATCCCCCCCAACAATAACAACAACAACAACAACTTGTGGGCTTTAGCTTTAAGTATTGTAAAAATGAGAGCTTTAGTAATATTTCTATGCTTCTTAAAACATTAGTTTTATATTCAGATGTACCCTCACTGACAAAAGTCTTCCCTTTACAGGCAACAAGTGGTGTCGGAGGACAGTATAAATCTCAGCTACTGTATTCTAGCACTCTTTTTTATTTTGCATTTATGTAAACATTGTTCAGTCTGCAAATAGGCGCCCCCGGTGGCACAATGGATTAAACCCCTTGTGCCAGTAGGACTGAAGATCGCCAAGTTGAAGTTTCGAATCCAGGGAGAGTGTGGATGAGCTCCCTCTGTCAGCTCCAGCTCGCCATGCGGGGACATGAGCGAAGCCTCCCACAAGGATGGTAAAACATCAAAACATCTGGGCGTCCCCCTGGCAATGTCCTTGCAGATGGCCGATTCTCTCACACCAGAAGTGACTTGCAGCTTCTCAAGTCATTCCTGACACAAAAAAAAGTCTGCAAATGCTTACATTGAGCAAAAAACACCCAAAGGCAGGGATACAGAATTTTGTCACATTGAGAAGGGCTGTTCATATGTACATGCTTCTCCCATGTAGTATTTGTAACTCAAAATGAGAATGAAAGCCAAACGTCTTTTTTGATGCCTCTACTGAGGATTTCTCAGAACATTTAACTGTAGGTTCAGAATTTTAACTTCCAAGAATAACTCTCAAATCAACAAAAAAGTTTGAGTAATCCCTTGAGTATTAGCAGCATTTGAACCCAAGTTGGAGTGGAAATACCATTTGTTGATGGCTTTGACTCATAATAACCATTTATTTTGTTTTACGGATTGCTAACTTGTTGAATTGTCTTAAACCAGGGGTGTCTCACATTAACCGGATGGAATTGTAGGACTATAAATGTAACTTATGTTGCCCTGACATTGAAAGCCTTGTGGGCCACATAAAATGACATGGCGACCCATGGACCTTGCATTTGACTTTTGTTAAATTTATTTATATGCTTGCTCTCTTGGATTTCATGCTCATCTGTAAGAGCTGTAATTTAGAGCTAATCTACTATAGTCTTAAGCATTTAGTTTTAAGTTTTGATAATTCAACCTTTTATATTTCATATGTCTTTAGGGGGTCTGTGAGTTTGGAGCAATCTGGTAGGATTGAATTTGCAGGTTGCATCTTCTTAACCAGGAGAAGTTTGTTCCTTGCTATTAAAAAAATGACCCGCCCAGAAGCTGGGAAAAGTTTTGCACTACTGCTTACAGGGGCAGGTTGTAGGGAACATAAGACCCCCTCTTAAAGCAGCTCCATTGGCTACCAGTTTGCTACCAGGCCCAATTCAAAGTACAGGTTATTACCTATAAAGCTCTATACGGCTCGGGTCCTGCCTATTTACGTGACCACATCTCTCCCTATGAACTTGTTCAGCTAAAACCAGAGACTTTTCTACTTGGTCTACTTTACCTCCACTCTGAGTCCCCCTCTGGGGGTTGAGAAGGGCGGGATTAAAAGGCTGTAAATAAATAAATAATAAAATTGGTCTGACTGAATAACCAGCTTTTATTGGAAACTATTAGACAGGAATTGGAATTACCGTGAGATCATTTATTATAACTGCTGGATAGTTTGACAATGGGAATCGCTGGCTAATTGCTGATACATAATTATATTGCTTTAAAATGACAAATAGCTTTAAATCTGTTTTAGTACTACTTATGGTATTTTAAATTGTACTAAATAAGTGTTTTGTTATTGTTGTTTATCATGTATTGCTTATATTTTTGCATTATCACTTGTTGTAAGCTGACCCAAGTCCCTTCAGGGAGAGGAGGTGGGGTATAAATTATTGCTATTATTATATTACTATTACTATTACTATTATTATTATTATTATTATTATTATTATTATTATTATTATTCGATACACAACAGGATTAGTACACGGCAAACAAGATCACTATGCTGGCTGTTGTATTGGATCACATGTTGGACACGTCCCAAGGAGTATGTGATGTATCGGCGAATAATGTGTGCAGTTCTCAGTAGGGTGACCTTTTGCAGCTGACAGATGGTAATTTTGTAAGCACCAATTGTTTTCAAGTGCTGGCCAAGGTCTTTAGGCACTGCACCCAGTGTGCCAATCACCACTGGGACCACCTTTACTGCCTTGTGCCAGAATCTGCAGTTCGATCTTTAAATCCTATTATTTGATAAATAAGATTAGTACACAGCAAACAAGATCACTATGTTGGTTGTTGTATTGGATCACACGTCAAGACACTTGCCAAGTGTCTAGGACTATGAGATGTATCAGCAAATAATGCGTGCAGATCTGAGTAGGGTGGTTTTTTTGCAGCTAACGGATGGTAATTTTCTCAGTGCCTATTGATTTTAAGTGGAGGCCAAGGTCTTTAGGCACTGCACCCAGTGTGCTGATCACCACTGGGACCACCTTTACTGGCTTGTGCCAATCTTTGCACTTAAAACTTCAAATTCTATTATTATTATTATTATTATTATTATTATTATTATTATTATTATTATTATTATTTTACTGACACAAAAACACAGTATGTCATATGCTGGATTTCGTATCCCAAAATCACAAGTTGAACACTTACCAAGACTGTGTGACGTATTTTTGAATGATGCACACAGATCCAAGTCAGGTGGCATTTTGCAGTTGACAGATCGTGATTTTGTTGATGTTTATTGTTTCCAAATGCCGATTGAGATCTTTTGGCATGGCACCCAGTGCGCCAATGACTACCGGGACCACCTGCACTGATGGTTGTTTGTTGTTGTTATTATTATTATTATTATTATTATTATTATTATTATTATTTTATTATTATTATATGATGGAGAATTCTGGAAGTTGTAGGCCAAAAAGGAACTTTTCCCAAGCTTAGAAAAATTGCTAAGTATAGCAAACCATGTACATGAAGTGACAATTTGCTTTGGTTAGGGATATGCAAATACGTTCCTCCAAATATGTTGGTCTGCAACTCACAGTGCACTCAAGAGCGAAGAACTCCAAGAGTTACAGTGAAATTGTACAAGTAATTGTGCGGCTGGAGGGCTATATGTCATCCACCCTTGACTTACATCAGGGAATCATGTAGCCATCCAGATAGGCCTGTAATTCCTAGCAGCCCTCTCCAATAGTGAGCTATATTGGGAGTTTCTATCGGACAATGTTTGAAGGGCTGCAGGATTCCCACCCCTGCTTTAAGGGGATGTGGTTCTTTTAAATCCTTCTGAGAGCTTCTAATCTGAGTTCTGAGCGTTCAGCCCAATGTGGGAAGTGGCCGGTGAAATCCTTCCTCTTGTACTACAGGTGGCTCATCTCAGGCCACTTGGCAGTGCTTGGGAACCGGCATTGATCCAAGTGCTGGCACTGGCAATGCCGGCAACAGCTGTTCATTCACACTTTGAGTGTAATCACTCCCATATGCTGCCTGTGTGCCAAGTGCATGACTAAAGCAAGAGCTGCAGGTTTGCTATAGTTGCACATGTCATCTGACACCACAACCCTTGAAGGGAGTCATCTGTTGCCGGCTGGGTCACATCAATAGAGAGTTGGGGGGAGATGAGCCTCAAAGCCAACAACACAGGTCCATTAAGTCACCATTTCAACACAGTTTACTACAGCTCTTGTGCGCGTTGTATAAAACATTTAGTGCAAAATGATACAAAGATTATTATTATTATTATAAAACTGTCTTCTCACATGCAAATGCTGTTTGATCCCATTTTCCTGGGAAAGGAAAAAAGTTATCCTGAAAGCTTTGTTAAAGCTTCTTACATGCATTGTCCACCCTTTAAGAAGAAATGCTGGCTCAAACTGGGCAGCAGCTTGGCAGCTCACTAGAACAAGGAATTTGCAAGGCAATCCATACAAGCATCAGTGCTGCTTAAGGGACAATCCATCCATTTTTGTTTACTAGTTTGGATAGACTTCTGGGTGCTTTCCAAGAATCCATAGGCAGCAACTGGAAATATTCACCACTAGAGGTAGCTGTGGGACAGCTTTCCATAACTAGAAGGAACTTTGAAGGATCATATCAACAAGCAGTGATGCTATTAGGTCAGTTCAACAGATTTCCAATGCAAAAAGAGAGAGGGAATGCCTGCTATGTCCTTTAGGGTTTTGTCATGCTGACTAGTTTCCTTTTAAAAAGCTGGACCAAATTATAGCTCTCACCCAAAAGCAATACCACACCCTAGAGCAGTGTCTCTCAACCTGGGGGGGGGGTGTCATGAGGGGGTGTTAGAGGCTGCGAAAGATCATCATAGAACACAGTATTTTCTGTTGGTCATGGGGGTTCTGTGTGGGAAATCTATTGTTGGTAGGGTTCAGAATGATCTTTGTAGGTGAACTATAAATCCCAGCAACTACAACTCCCAAATGACAAGGTCTATTTTCCCCAAACTCCACAAGTGTTCACATTTGGGCACATTGAAATTTGTGCCAAGTTTGGTCCAGATCTATCATTGTTTGAGTCCACAGTGCTCTCTGAATGTAGGTGAACTACAACTCCAAAAACTCAAGGTCAGTGCCCACCAAACCCTTCCAGTATTTTCTGTTGGTCATGGGAGTTCTGTGTGCCAAGTTTGGTTCAATTCCATCGTTGGTGGAGTTCAGAGTGCTCTTTGATTGTAGGTGAGTTATGAATCCCAGCAATTACAACTCCCAAATGTTGAGCCCCAGACTCCACCAGTGTTCACATTTGGGCATATTGAGGATTCTTGCCAAGTTTGGTCCAGATCCATCAATGTTTGATTCAAGAGTGTTCTCTGGCTGTAGGTGAACTACAACTCCAAAACCCAAGGTCAAAGCCCTCCAAACCCTTCCAGTTTTTTGGGTTTTTTTTGGTCATAGGAGTTCTGTGTCCCAAGATTAGTTCAATTCCATCATTGGTGGAGTTCATAATGCTCTTTGATTGTAGGTGAACTATAAATCCCAGCAACTACAGTTCTCAAATGACAAAATCAATCCCCTCCTATCCCCACCAGTATTCAAATGTGGGCGTATCAGGTATTTGTGCCAAATATGATCCAGTGAATGAAAATACATCTTGCATATCTGATATTTTCATTATGATTCATAACAGTAGCAAAATTACAGCTGTGAAGTAGCAACAAAAATCATTTTATGTTTGGGGGTCACCATAACATGAAGAACTGTATTAAGGGGTGGCACTGCACTAGAAATCTTTTTTCTTCTTCTTTGCTTAGATTTTCCCATTTGTTCTCTTGAATACAATGCACAGGCGGGCAGGAGGATGAAAGTGTGTGTGTCTCCAAATTTCACAAATCTAGGAATAACAGTTGGCGGAGGCAGATTTGGTCCAGGGTACATTCTGGATGCTTTATTGGAATGCTACAAAATCATCCTTTATGGGGAAAGGAGATGTTTTTTTAAAACCGTAAATACAATGAATTGAGCCCTAGAGTGAATGAGTTGAACATGCACATCCTTCTCCTGGCAGAGCATATCGATTAACAAAACAAAACAAAACAACTTCTGCATGGACTTTTGCCACTTATAAAGCACCATTGATTAAGGTAATGTGTTTCATCTCCAGAGTGCTCCAAACAGGGGCAAAGCTACCTGTAACCTTGTTTTACTCTTTGGGAAGAGTCTGCTCTGTTGCCACTGGCCACTCCACTTACTGCCCACCCTCTCTTGCCCAGGCAGCAGAATACGCTGGCATGTATGGCTGACATCCCCAGTCCCCTCCATAAGAGCCAACCATTTTATGAAAAAGGTAATCACAAGCTGTACCAGGAAGACTTTTAGGAAGACCGTGAACAGTTAATTTTCTAGAAAATATATTTCCCTTTGCCAGCAGCTAGGATCAGGAGTGTCGGAGTCAGTCCATCAGGTATCGCAAGCACTTCCTGTGCAGCAGGAGAAAGCAGTTGGCTTCCTTTGGTGGAAAGTAGGCACTCACCCTGAACTGAGCCCCGATTTTGGGAACTCCTTGTCTTTCACAGAAAGAACAGCCATTTTGGCCCCAACGTGTCCACTTACGTTTTTGCAGGGCTGTGGTGAATGGGGGCAAAGTGGGTGAAAGTGAAGAGCACTGTACCTGGAAAATTAAACGGGAAGTAACAAAATGGCACACGCATGAAACAGGAATGAAGAGAAACCCATTCAGATGCTCTCTTGCCTGGGATGTCGCTTCCTTAGAAAAGTTGGCGCAATTGAACAGGAAGATGGCGTGAAACCAAAGTTAGTACATCCACACATTCTCAGCCCTGTGTTACAACATCCTAGTAACCTTACACAGCCATTCGCCATGCAACAAGGTCGTCTTCCTCTCCCCACTTCCTAAATCACGGATTTGGTCAATCCAAATGTTTTCAGAATCAGGTGCGCAGGTTTTTGTCCCTGCAGTCTCTCCAAAGTTGGGGAGTATGGTTTAATGAAATGCAAGAGGAAAACCATATGATGTTTTAGGGAAAGATAATTGTATAGGCAGCAATGATGAGTTGGGGCTTCAAGGCTAGAATTTCCTGCCTCTTTGACCCATACAGGCTTTTG